TTAGCTTTTGGTCTAAGTAATTTGGTGTTCAATACAGTGTAGACCATCTTATGATCGCTCATGCCTGCGTCTATTGTACCGGACTTCATCATGAAGGCTGGCACGTTTGTTAATATAACGTCTAGGCAGGACTCTTTGCTTTTAGAAATTCTCGTAGGTTCGTTAATGAGAGAGTCCAAGTCATATGTATCACACAGGTCAAGTAGGAGTTTTCCCTCTTTATTATTATCTTGTGGATGAAGTATATCACAATTTAAGTCTCCCAAGCATACGATATTGGTGTAGTTTATAAATGCTTCGTCCAATAGCTTCGATAAGTCGTTTTGAAACGTATTGTTGTCCACCGATGGAGGTTTATACGCACTTATCAGACCAAGTTGTTGTTGTCCAATGCGAAGACCAAGGAAAAGCGATTCTACAGATTTACATGCAATTTTCTTGCTCGTTGTGATTATATTTTCGCTGACAAACATAGCGATACCACCTCCGCCTTGCTTTCTATCTCGACGGAAAAGCCTGTATCCTTCAGCTTGAAACTGAGAATCTGGAAAAGTGTGGTCGATTTTAGTCTCTTGTATTGACAGAATATCAAAGGCCCTGCAGTTTAACCATTCTTCCACCTCTGCGAATTTATTCGGTAAGCTGTTGATGTTTAAATTACCAATAATACATTTTTTACGGTGATTAGCTCTCAGTTCTTGGATAGAGACCAGGACTTCTTGAAAGTTAGATTCCGTAGAGGAGTTTAGCGAGGATATTGAGTCTTCAAATAAGGAGTCGCTGAAGTTAAATGGTTGTGAGCAGCTGAAACAATTCCATGGAGTGTTTTTCAAGGTTTTGCGATTAACACCAGCGCATTTCCAGTGAGAAATTGATAGACATGTTTCACAGGTAAGTGGTTTTGTTTTCGTATTTATGCTAATCGCTTTAGAACATGCAAGACATTCTTGTTTGAAATAATCTTCTTTGGAGGACCTGGATTCAGATTGACATCGTTGGAGAGTAGCAAGATATGAATAAATATGTATAAATCCTGAAAAATACGCTTTGAATTGCGTCTTGAGAGCCAGAGTGATGAGAGACTTCGACGACAGCAACGACGACGCTTTCGCGAAGAGTTGTATTGGATTAGTTCCTGTGAGCTGATATTTTTGTCCAGATATTGTGTGGGTTGCTTTGACAGTTGTAACACGAAGGCTTCTTGGATAAGGATATGAGTCCTTAGCTCTTTGCTAGAAGCGATATTATGTACAACACTGCCTTCAAGGTACCAGAAGAAACGTAGAATGAACAGAGCTATCAGGAGACATCTTGCCGCCATCTTATTATGCAAATAATATATTTGTTTCTAGCATAACTATCACGTATTGTATGTAAATAGCCTAGCACTTAGCCTTTTGTTCTATACCATGTTTATATATCTAGATTATAGGAATGTTTATGTGTATTGAGCACTCTTTAATGGGATCAGCTACTTCCTCATACGATAATATTTACATCACATTTTTTAAAAGCATTTACACACTTTTTACAAACGATGTAATTTTAATGGAAATATTATGTAAATCAAAATCCAAATTTTACATAATATTTCCATGATTTTGGATACTAACAGGATATATTTACAACCTTTACCCATAAATAATAAAAAAGTACATTCTATATGTGTAAAATAAACTATAAAGTTTAATATAAATATTATTGCGTACCGTTTCTCGTTAGGACCGTTGCTGCACTGTTTACAAGTAAGGGTCCTCTTGTGTTCGTAGAATCAAAAGCAATACACTTAAACGTATATAAAGTATTTGGTTTAAGGTCTTCCACTGCTATTGATGTGTCATTTCTATGTTCAATGATGTACAGGAATGGTTCTCTTGTCACGGTAAAGTTATACAACGGTACAACAATATAGTTCTTTGTTGGCAGCGTGGAGTGATCCCAGTCAATGGTAACTACACCAGGTTTGGATTGTCTTAAAGTAGGATTCCAGCCTCTTGCACTCGAATCTTAAAAAAATAGAGAAGTGCCGAAACTCGCTGCCTCTCAAAACGGGTCTTAATTCTTTAACCCTCTTTTGTCCTGTCCATTCTCATATATATGATTAAAGAATAAAATATAAAGTGGCTAAATATTCATGCGTATTGTTCTCAGTATAACTGATAAATGGCAAACTTCGGCCAAATGTTAGCCTGCGTAGCGGCCCTAAGGGAATTGGGGAGGGCCGGCCGAGCGGGGAGTGGGGAGGAACATAGGAAGGGCCTGCAAGCGGACCCCACGGTTTTACGAAATCTACAGTTTGATTTGGCCGTAAATTCCCTATTGGNTTCTTGTTCAGTGAACGATACTACCACCACAACGACGAATTGGTTTGCCCCACTGATACAACGGCACCCTGACCATATTCGATCAAGACAGTAAAATCGTGAAATTCCGTACCCTATTCGATGAGGAAAATATAACATTTCCAAGACATAAACCAGGTAGTGGTCAATATGACATTGTTTTTCCTTTTGACTTTTTTATAGTCTACTAGATAAACATTGACACCCTGCATAAGACATTCAAATACATTCCTCTTCAAAACAACTGAAGTTCAATAGACCTCTGAGAGCTTTTACGTCATGTACAGTTTACGCAATGCATTGTAGGATATGTTTGGGACAAAACATGGCGGATTTCTTTTGTTTTCTCTAGGAACTCAACCCCCAATGCATTGAAAGTGAAGAAGTGACGAAAAGGTTCAGAGGTCAATTGTTTACCCTTAGGTGCATATAGTAGTATATACCTGGCAAATTTTGCGAAATTATATAGAAAGACACGTTGAAATATACATTCTCGTAGCAACACGTGTAATATCTGACTACAGCTGGTCCATTCTTGATCAGAACTTGAAATGGACGCTTTCCACCACATTCTCTTACTTTAGCCCCGTAATTTACATCGGCGACTTCAACGTAACTCTCCTGATATTCACTGCAGCAAAGAAATTATGACAATTGGAAAAAAAACAAGAAACCATGAAGAAACTAGTTTTCACTATTCTTGGTAGTCCCTGGCCTGTACGAACGAAAATCTTTATGTTGGAGTGATTTGTATTTGTAAAGTTTATGGCTGTTTCAAGATTTTTTGAAGTCTCGGCGAAAACTATTTGTCAAACATGAAAAAACCTTTCAAGGAAACCCAAAGAGTAGAAGAAATGAGAAAATGAAGATGTTGAAATAAAAGTGAGAGGGAGGGAGTGAGAGAGGGGGGGTAAATAGAGAGAGCTGACAGAGAGGGACAGAACAATGTAGGGAGACATTGGTTGGAGACACTGCACTTGACTTAACTGAGTTTTGACCGATTTGGAATTAAGTTGTGGTCACGTAAACATTTTCTGCTGCAAAAGAACGTTTGAGAATGAAGGAAATCGATGTACTAGACACCTAATTAAAAATAATGTCAGATTTCAAAAAGTGAAAATAGTTTCGAATCTAACACAGAAGTGAACATTGCTTGTTTARATCGATCATTTTATTCAGTGCAGGCAGTCTTTTGCTGGTGAAACATGCGGTGTATACCTTTCAGACCTTTCAAGATATCGAAATATATTAGCCGAGTGCAGAGGCCCAATTGATGTCGCAATTTTCTACCAGTGATAACAGACGTAACGTTATACTTGTCAAAATGTCACTTACATGCAACGCCATCCCAGGTCAAACGGCGTGAATTCAATGACTATGAAGTCGATATTATTTACACCTTTGCCTATTGTCCATGAACAGTTAATTGATCTTGTCCAATTATGAGTTTTCTCAAGAATTGAGAACTTCCCACTTTCTCCTTTCAGATCAGTATGGCACCCTGTGAATGAGAACCAAGAGTAGAGCAGAAAGGCATAACCTGAATTTTTACATCTCGATATTTAATTATACATGTGTAATCAAACCGTCTATAATTCCAAATTGGACAAAAAGTACCAGATAGCAATTTCAGCACCGTTACATGCCTACCTTTTGTATACTTTTGTAACGTACTACTACATTAGAAGTAATATTGTTGGATGTCTTTAACAGAAATAAGCTTCTATGAAAACATTATAAAGGCAATGCTTTTAAGCTTTGGGAACTGATATAAAATGAACAATAAATATGAATGTTTTGCAACAATTTCACGGGTTTTTTAACGTTAATTTGTCTTTGTATTTTCACTTCACTAATCAGTAGACCGTGAAAATATGGAAAGCCTGCCTACATCGAGAGCTGCAGTGACTATAGTCCGGTCATGAGTACGTGTATTCCGTGCAGTTTATCGGGTCTCAAATTGCCACAATTTTTAACAGGCACTGTCGAATACTGGATTTAAATTAACGCTGTTGCTTTGCAAGTCTCTGCCATGCAACTTGCAACATTCAAATAGACTTACCTTTAACAGTTAAAGCGCCAAGGCCTAGAAAAATACATAAAAGAAGGCAAAACATCATTTAGCTACAGCTTCGCCGCTTACGAAGTTAAATTTGATCGCCTGGACCTTGTTTGACACGGAAGTAAAAAATCAGTGTAGAGATAAAAGCATCCGAGGAATGTCAACTAGACGCTCTTTGAGCGTGAAGTCGGGCTAGCTATTTTGGAAAATGGAGAAATTACTTGGATTTTCGAATACGTGAAGAGCGAAAGAGTTCAACACGATAAGATAAAATTCGTATCTAAAAAACATGTCATATTCTGACAGTCACATAATTATATATAAAAGTAAATTATGGCGTAGAATACCTTACCTAGTTTGTTTATTCACGCACCGCGATATTCTTTTCTGATGGCTTGGCGCAACGACACCAAAACACTAGGAATATCGATCCAGGAGTGATATTCTGTCTTTCTCAATTTTCAAAAATAGCTATCCCAACTTCACGCTGTAAAAGCGTGTAGCTCATTCAAAATATGCAAATTTCGTGTGTTTTAAAAAGGTCATATAAACAACAATTTATAATTTAACAATTTTTGATGCAATGTTTAAAGTAAAGAATCCTATTAACCTATACTTATCCCGTTTTTTGTACATAGACCAGCTTATACTATTTAGGGGAATCTCCAAAGGCAACTCTTTCAAATAAATTCAAAATAAATGCTTTAAATGCTCTTAAAACTCATATACTATCATTACTAATGCAACCGGAGAC